AATCAAATCTCAATTTCTACGACATTTGGATATAGTCAGTATTTGATCAAAACAACATGGAAGCTCTTAGCAATGTTGCTGACTCTAAATGTGCATGAATGTAGTCTTGCTGCATGCAGGTCAGAATAAGATTAGCATGAATATATTTTGACTCATGTCCACACATTTATTTCTGTGACTGTGCTCAGTTCTCCTTTTGACTTGTTTTCCTCTCAGTGCTTTTATGATCAAGCGGTCAGCAGCTTCCCAGAATGCTGTTTTAACAAACACACCCACATCTATTAAGATATGACAGTTTTAAACAAGTTTCTTTCCATCTAATGGTTTGTTTTACTTTGTTTAAAGGCCAGGTCCTGTCTTTAGAATTGTTTTTCTAGATGTGAATAAAGTGTGTGTGCTGACTTAAAAATGTTTTCAGAGACATTTTAAATTACTGTGCATCTTTTATTCTCAATTAACACATGCAAACCCCCCTACCCCTCATAAAGAAAAGGCACAGGAATTAAAATGAAAGCAAGTTTATTTAATAATGTAACAATGTAATGCCTACTACATAAGATATCCTGGATGTCACCATCACAACAAAAAAGAGAGACATGTAGAAAAAATATATTATTAATTAGTAATAGTAATAGTTGCATATGCTCTTAATGTGGTTAAGACAATGAATTATTAATATTAGGAATGTATGAATTTAAAAAAAATACATTTAAAAATGGTACAGTTTAATTAATTTTTAAAAACAGACATATAAAAAGCCGTTTACACAAAAAACATCACCATACATATATAAATTAGACGCTTAAGAAAGTAAACAAAGGAGAAGAAAACCAACATGACATACATTGACACATCTGTATAATTAAGCTGAATGTCAAAGGTTGTAGAAAACAAATGCTGCAAACAGCACTGGGGTTCAAGCATTTTGAGACCGTTTTGAAATTATAAGCATAAAGTGTATTTTAATTGCCAGACTAGCAGGTTTATGGCAACACACGGTTGTCGTAAACTTTAAGTTTGGTTTAAATATCATAATATTATCGTATTAAGTGGTGAAGAAACTTTGAGAAACAGCTTTATGTCCTCCTGAACACTAGGCGGCGCTGTGCTGAAACAATGTAGGTAATATCAGGTCATGGATGCCATAACAAATACCTATTTTGGTCTGAAAATAACAAAGTGAGGAGATATACACTGCATTCAATTCAGAAGGCCCTTATTCCCTAATCCCCTCTAGGGGTTTATGCTTCAGAGGGATGAAGGGTGTAGGGATCAAAAAATAAATTTTTTTGAATGCACTTCTGAGTCATAATAATGAGACAATCGATGTGGTGTGTCATCATTGCATTTTTACACCCAGAAAACGAGCTTAGATTGACAAGTGCATTGTGCAGGCTGTGCCTCATTCATCAATTTTTCTGTGCCTTACGCCCCATTTACAAAGGGCGTCAGCATCAATGCTTGCCATTCACTTCCTATTAATTTTTGAGTGGGTGACGTCAAGCATTACCGAACTGAATTGTTGATCCGTCGGCGCTGCTTCAGTGGCGTTGCTGGCTGCAGAAGTTGGGCATTTTTCTACATTTCAAGCACCAACAGAAGCGTCAACTAATCAGATTACTTTCAGAATCAGACCACCTCAGTTCAGACAGAAGACTATTGCGGACTAATTTCATTGGCTGACACTGCTATGATGATTGCGTCAGCCCCAACTTAAGGCACACCCTCGGTCAATCATTAACGCTGAAGTCCTGTGTGAATGCACGGATAGTCTCTGATTTATCAGGGGTCGCCACAGCAGAATGAACCGCCAACTATTTCAGAAAAAAATAATCTTGTTTTTCGATTAGTGAAAAGATTATTTTGCTTACCCCATTGGCAGATTATTTTGCTTGATTTAAAGGTTCAGGACACCCCGGAGAACTTTTTTTTTGTATTAACAGATGTGTGTGTTGTTGAGCATCAGTTAAGACAATGTTAGCACCTGTCAGCTTTAATTGTGGGGAAAACTGGATAATTTTGAGCTTTTGTCAGCTAATTTCAGCTTCCGGGTTTAAAATGATTTTTGGGGCGGGATCAAAATCGGCGACGTAGCGCAGAACTGCAAGTGCAATGATGAAGCGTCGGTTTCTCATTATTATTCATAGAGGAGTTTTCTTATCCTATGAGATTTCTTATCCTATGAGCCGGCTGCTTAATTATTCATGAGACCTGCCAGACCTGCCAGTGTCAAGCCCGAGCTGAGAGACACGGAGACCACGGCACAGTATTTAGCCGTTCATGAAGGCTCATATGCGTTTGTTTCAATGACTGTAAAAAATATGGACGACGCGACAGCCCCTTTTCCCATTGAACGCCTTGAGGGCAAAACGCCTGCTTGACGGGCACAAACTGTCGCAAAAGACTGCTGAAATTGGAGCCAGACATGCGCAGAAGGATTGTCTGGTGGAGCCAGGAGGAGCCACGAAAATGAGCGGAGTCGAGCTTCCAACCAAACGCTTTATGTAAAATCAACCATGCCCCCCGAACTTCTCAGCATGTGTTTGCTGTCATATCAACACAAATGGATGTAATAACATTAACAAATATGAGGGTTTTATATATTCAATCGCGCCAGCTCCGGGCTGCAGCGCATAACCTACTCGCGGCGTCGCGGTCTGATTCTGGCTCGCATGCGGCAGCACCGGCTCGCTCGGCCGCCGCATCTGGCTCGATTTACTCGGGCTGGAATCGGGCAGTGAGTCCAGGCATCCGGAGTACGTCCAGCAGAGGTAGTCAGTCTGAGCTCTGAGGGGTAAGTCTCCGGCAGGCGAGAATCTAGCTGGAACCGGCCCAAGTGTATTTTGCTATCTGGGTGGTTAGGCGTGTATCAGCAAACTAATAAAGCCCGAAAAAAGCTCTAACCTTAGCGAATAAACAGTGTTCCACCAGATCATGTATGTCAAAAACTGTAGTTTACTGCTGAACTCATTTTGTCATGGTAAAATAACACAGAAAATCGAGTAATAACACTTCAGTCTTCTGCCGAAGCTCAGACGCGCTGCTTTGAGAAACTGTCAATCACCGCTGTCAATCACGATGACACGCCCAGCCTTAAATTACTGCTAAAAACAAACTGTTTACAAAAATGAAGATCTGCACCTATTTCAACACAATAACCAGTGCCTTAATCGACCAGAACCATCTTTCGGGACATTTTATTGCAAGTGTAATTAATTTTTTTTATTTGGGCTCAAGTCTCCTTCATTAACACGGAGGAGGCGGGCTTTATGATTTGTACTGCAGCCAGCCCCCAGGGGGTGATCTAACGGCCGAGACCTTCACTCAAACGCAGGCTTGCGGCACACTTGGTTTGTTTCCATGATCCACGGGGTTTGTTGCATGTTTTCCCCCACGATCTTGTCAGGGCCGATCACACAGCAAAGCTGTGTGTGTGCTGCAAGCATTTTTGTCGGGAGAGCAGCACGAGAATTAGAGAAAAGCGGACACTGTCTTTTATCAGGAGTTCGTTCACATTCAGACACATCGCCGTGCTGCTGTGTTTGCCTAAATCCTCCAGATTACCAGCAGGGTTAATGGTTAACCATTGGTTAACCATTAACCATTAATCATGCATCTTTTGAAAAAATTCTGAAGAAGACTCTAACCGAAAGAGGGGGGTGTCATGGCCCTTTAAGGAAAATCTCACTTCATTTTGGCATATTATTTCTTAAAACAAGACAATATGTTTTGCTTGCCTAGAAAATGTTGCTTGATTTAAGAACTTTTAGATATTTGGGTTAGAAACAAGACAAAAAAATCTAAGAAAAGCATTTTTTGCAGTGCAGTGTCCTGGCCAAAGTCCCTAAATCGGCACTTATGATCATGGCCTCCCAATCATCCTTGCCCACCGAATTGGCTCTATCACTGTCTCTTCACTCCACCAATAACTGGTGTGTGGTGAGCGCACTGGCGCTCTTGTCCTGTGGCTGCCATCGCATCATCCAAGTATGCTGCACACTGGTGGTGGTGTGGAGAGACCCCTCTTTTGGAGGTTCCGAAATTCCATTAAGGGCACATAATGTTGCATAATGATGTGCCCTTAATTTCACAGTGCATTGTGGGATTTTTCAGGATGCTACGTTTCAGTGCACTGGAAGAATTTTGCGATTGAGACAGCGCTTAAAATGGCTGATTCCCTGATCAGTGACTATTGAACAAGGGTGCTGATCTTTGTTTTGATAACATTTGCTATTTAGACTCGAGACAAAATGTCAGCAGTAGTTTAGTTCGGATTGGATGAAAATGCTAGGACTAGTTTGGAAATGCTTAATTCAATTTCAAAAAGTTTAAAATTTTTTGTTTTTTGTTTGGCATCTTAAAGCTACACACTTGAGCCCCTAATAAAATAAAATGTTTTTGTAGAACAAATTATTTTAATGTTTACTGCACTTCAACAATGCTTTTGATTACCCGTTAGTCTAGTGGATTCAATAGATAATTCAATAGTCTAATTTCTTGTTGCAAACGTAGCTGGATGTAAACTGTGAATGAGTTTTCCATTTGTAAATGATGTTTACTCCAATGGCAGGAGGGATTCACTACACTGTAAATAATATCTGTTAATTAACAGTTTCTGTTTCTGGAAGTGTTCTCCGTTTATTTATGGTTGTGATATTGGTTGCATTATGGGAGCTTGATCTCTGCTCTGTGAACTTTTGATGTTGAAAATTCAACTCTACAGTTTAACAAACTGATCTTTATTGTTATTTTAGTAGTTTAAAATAATATAATGTATAATAAATTATATTTAGAAAAATAAGTTACATTAGAGAAATGTAAAATAACAGTAAATGGACTCACAGTTTATTACAATGTTTCTGTAGAGTAATATACAACACAGCCCAGACAATAGATCACTTTAAACTATTAAAGTATTAAAGTAAAACTATTATTAGAAATGTCACTTTTTCAGACTTTTCAAGATTAAACATTGTTGGAAGAAGAATCAAGCTCCCATAATGCATAAACATAAATAAAATGATAAATAAACTTTTAAAATTTAAAGCATAATTAAACAGGAAATTAAAAAGTAAAACCAGGAATTACAAAATACAGAGAACTGCTAATTTACAGATACATTTTTACAGTCCGTAATCTATAGATGAATAGGTGATTTTTGCTTCTTCCTGCACACTTTTCTTCTTTTGAAGACATCTGGATATTAACTTATAAACCAGTACAGGCACCACGGCCGCAGCCACGCCCACCACAGCAGAGAGAACCAATAGGATCACAGCTTTAGGAAAGAGGCCATCTTATGAGGGATAAAGTGTTAAACTGTTAGCAGAGTTAAAATGTTTACATTATTCGCTTATTTATTGTGGAACTGACTAATAAGTGTTAGTATCAAAACTGCCATACCTGAGCATGTGTTACAGAGTGTGTCGATGTCCAGATGCGTGGTCTGGTTGCTGATGGGGTTGCTGACCACACAGCTGTAGGTGCTTTTATCCTGTAGTTCCACCTCCAGAGGTAGAGAGAGACTGATGCTGAGATCAGATGCGCTGGTGCTGGACAATACACTGTTTCCTTTGTACCAGGAGAGAGTCGCAGACCTCACATTCACCACTGAACACAGCAGCACACATCTGGACTCCGATGATGTATTTGGGCATGGAGATAAGTAGGTGGAAATGACAGGAATCGGAAGAGGAGCTAGAAAACATTGCAGAATATATTAGATTTAAGTCAAATATGTCTGGTTTAATAAACTTTATTGAGATTTTGTAACAGGAGCTAACATGACCAATGAAAACAGGAAGTAAAATTAGTATGCATGTGAAAGACATTATGCAACCAAGAAATTATAAAAAAGTGTCCCAAAAACAGAAATATCTGATCTGATCATCATCTATATTGCCATATAGGCCCTTTTCTTCATTGCTGTATGGACTGGTGCCATAGTGACTATCTAGGATGCTTAGAACTTCCACTTGCCATTAGCATGAGCAGCATATAATTCTTGTTTGTAATGGCTGGCTCAAAAGTGACACTGATTAGTGAAGCAATTCAACTTGCAATGACTGATAAAAATGCTGTGTGCTAGGCACTTATTTGTATTGAAAAAGAGTCAATAAAAATGACTCTTTTTCAGCCCTGGAGTTTCAAGCCTCAGACCGGCCCACCTCAGTTCACGACTGACTATATTAAAATAAGGACATTTACAATTCAGTTTCTAATGACACTATCACGTCTTTTTTTGAGAAAACAGCTGCTTTAGAACTTCAAATGTTCAACAACCCTAACAGTATTATGTCTTAACAATAAAAATGAAAATAAATAAATAAATAAATAAAATACTAAGACGAGGTTCAAACACAGATCCGCAGTGTCGTAACCTAACGTGCTAACCACTGGACCACAACAGCTGTGCATCGAGAGATGGCTCGTCTGAGTTATATCATCATTAACCAGGCTGCGAGAAAATATATAAAAAGAGCAGAGCTGCGGTAAAACAATGAATAAGAAGACTGTGGTCAAGTAAAAAAATAATAATTAATTTAAAAAGTGTGACTGCTGAGAGCAACAGATTCTGGAGCTAGGGACACCGGCCCTCGCGGCCAAAAAACAGACCGGCCCACTGGGAATTCTCCCGGTCCTCCCAATTAGCCAATCCGGGCCTGCTCATAGCTGACAATAAAACATAATGAAAACTACACTATTATTGTACTGTAATCCACTGGCCTGGCATGCTAAATACAGCATTTGTAGTATTTGTTTGTAAATCTGAACAGGAGTCTTTATTTATTTATTATTTTCAAAAACAAATAAATTTTTAAGTACATCATCTTTGTAATGCAAACATGCCCTTAAATAAGTCATAGATACATTTTTATCATGCTAATATTAGCATTACAACTAAGGAACAGTTTATTTTTTATAATAAAGTGCATAAATTAGTTTTCCAACTTACAACCACCCATAATTCCCTCATCCAGGGGCGGACTGGCCATCTGGCAATTCTGGCAAATGCCAGAAGGGCCGGACCAATTTTTAAATGTGGGCCGGTCAGTTTTTATTTATATGTATTGTTTTTACGTGAAAGCAGCTTTTATCTCTTGCTAGATGTGATATTATGATGATGATGATAATAATAATAATAATAGTAATAATAATAAATATAGCTGCAAGCAGCAATTAAGGGGCCAAGCACTATTGGCCATAAGGTGGCGCTGTTCCAGACGTTTTTGAGTACTTTCAGGGCATGGGGTTGAAGATGCATACCATGTTTTGTAATGATATGTGAATGTGTTGGTAAAATATAGCATTTTTGGCCAAAAATCGAAATGGGCGACGCCCAAAATGGCTGACCTGTGAAAATCAGACATCATTCGACTCGGCATGCTCTGCCGGATGTAATGAGACCAGTTTCATGAGTTTCGGACGAAAGGTTGAGACGTTATAAGCCAAAAAGCAAGTTTTTAGTATCTCCGGACCACTAGGGGGCAGTGCGCCGAAACTCCGCAATTAACCTTAGACCCTAGTTGTCATAACACACACCAAGTTTGGTGTGAATCGGTGAATGCGTTACAGAGATATCGCCTCAAGTCCATTTTTGCAAGTTCTACGTTAAATTAGTTCGCAAGTTAAACAAAAACGGTTGGTGTAATCAACTTGAATTCCATAACTTTTGGTTGGCATGGTCTGTACATCATGTGATTCAATTTTGGTGAAAATCGGAGACACGGCCTAGGACGAGTTCGATCAAATAGGTTTTTCGAAAAATTTAAAATAGCGCGAAAAAATTCATGACGGAAAATGACGTCATAGGGTGCGTTTGAATCGGACTGAGCCAAGGAATCAGAGGAAAAAAGAATTTTTATTGTAGCCCATTCGGTTCAAAAGTTATGATGATAAACATAAGTGAAAGTTTGGACAAGTGGTGGCGCTAGAGAGTTTGATTTTGAGACTTCATAATTGGCCTGATTAATGTTAATACTGGCCTCTATCATTGTGCCAAATTATACAACTTTCCCGCATACGCCTATATGGGCTGCCATTCAAATCCGGCGGAAGAAACGGAAGAAGAAGAAGAAGAATAATAATAATAATAATAATAATAATAATAATAATAATAATAAGAACACTAACGAAAGCAATAGGTGCCTACGCACCTACGGTGCTTGGCCCCTAATAATAATAAATGTTAAGCATTTGGACCAATCGTGACGGCCGCCTGATTTCAAGATGGGCCGACCCAATCCGAGGTTACCTGGACGTAATCAAAATCTGGCAAGAATGTCAAATTATTTCACCATCTGTACATCAAAATAAATAGTGAATGTGCGTGTCCGTGGGTGGGGCTATGTCAGTGTGGTAATGTGGGCTGATTTGGCTAGAGTGCCAGGGCTGAATTTTTGTCCCAGTCCGCCCCTGCCCTCATCGACTTATTCTAACCATAATTTACAGTATTAAAATGTGAATATATACATCAGACAGGGTGTTCTCACCATGGACAGTCAGCTTGAATGTGTGGAGTAGTATTCCTGTGCTGGTCATGATTGCTTTATATTCTCCAGAGTCTGTTGTTCTGGTGTTGTTGATGGTCAGAGATCCAGTCTGATCCAGCGTCAGTCTGCCTCTGAAACTCCCATCAAGAACTTTTTCTTGCAATTTGATTTCATCTCTGCTGATGTAAGCTATAAGAATGTTGTGGGATCTAAACTTCCACTCGATGTCCCCGCTTCTCTGTATTTCTAGAGTGACTGATTCTCCAACCATCACTGACTTCACTCTAACGGCATCAGACACACCTGGAGAACAAAACGAGTGATAATTCGATTAAAACATTTTAGAAAGTTTAATGATTGCACATTTGAAGGTGAAACTGTAAAACAACTCACTGATTTTAACACCATCCCCTGGTGAAAAAAACTGTTTAAACCAGCCTAAGCTGGCTGTGGTTTTAGCTGGTCGACCAGACTGTTTTGGCCATTTCCAGCCTGCTCTTAGCTGGTCAGGTTGTGGGATGACCAACTAAAACCAAGCTGGTCGACTAGCTAATCAGCATAGGCAAGTTTAAGCAGTTTTTTTTTTTTCATCAGGAATGTACAAATGTAGAACTTACCAAATAGATAAAATAGAGTCAGATTGAAGACAAACAGAATCATTTTCAAAAAAGCAGAAGATTTCAGCTGTACAAAGTGAGAGATCAGTTGTGGCAAACAGAGAAATGGGTCTCGGCTGAAACGGATATGAAAGTGATGTGTAAAAAAATACCTCTAAGAGCACCTCCTGTCAGAGTCTCTATGCTTTCCTGCCTGGCCTCATTTAGTAATGATGTCGATGAAGTGTTTCTGCCCTTTGATATTTTAGTATCGGTTTGTGTTCCGGTACTAAAGAAGGCACATCAGTAAACAACAACAACCTTGATGTCTTTATGTGATAATCAATGTCACAGAAGAGTAAAATTTAGGATACAAATGCACCTTTATTTCAAAATATAAAAGTAAACTTCAAATGCAAAATGCAGGCAAGAGCAGGCAAGGCAAATTACCAAAACATTTACTTATTTAAAAAAAAAATTCTGCTTAGTCCCTTTATTAATCCGGGATCGCTACAGCGGAATGAACTGTCAACCGATCCCAATAGTATCTGTATGCAGCCCTTATGATGCAAGTGGAGATGTCAGACCCCTACTGAAAAATCCAGCTTAAACCAGCCTAGGCTGGTTTAAGCTGGATTTTTCTGCAGGGACACAATGTAAATGAGCTAATGACATCACTGTCATGGGTAGGAGTGGGGTTAGGTAAGCCCATTAAAAAGCATTGAATGCAGCTGATTGCAATACACTGAGTCTGCAGCCAGACCCTTCTCACTTATCCAGCATGTGTTTCACGCAGCGGCGATGGCCTTCCAGCAACATCCCATCACTGGGAAACATCCACACATACAAATACGGGCAATTTAGCTTACCTAATTCACCCAAACCGCATATATTTGGACTTGTGAGCATAGAGCTTGTGAGGAAAACCGGGGAAACAAACACGCGCGCACACAGAGAAAGGATGCCCTCAAGTGTTCATTTAAGGGCACAGCAAGGTTCGGTGACTGACAACCTCTGAATTGCAAACGTGACTTCAAACTCTAACATGGTTTCGTGCTAGTTACTTCTAGCTAGTCATGTGCACTTTCATAATCACAACATGCTCTTTCAAAATTTAATCTTCGGAATGGCACTAGTGAGAAACATTTTTCTGTGTTGTAGACGACGTAATTGTGTTGTAAATATTCTTGCTATTTTGCTAGTGCTTTTGATACTTTTTTTATATACGAGTCTTTATGTCACTTGTTTGTCCCGTTTTTCCCGTTCAAAATATTTTTTTCTTAACCGTAGCTATAATAACTTTGTTTGTCTATGGAGGAAATAAATACAGAGTAATATCATTGGATATGGATATTCGCGTCTTTCGCCTCCTGATCCGCCCTGTAATGTTAAATGTCAGCTGTTGGATGTTTGTTCGGCGCATGCTCCGTAGGTCCAGAATCAGTTCATTCTCTCAGCTTGGCGTGTCTTACTTTAGTTTTAGATTAGAATATTCTCTGGGATACTATTTTTGTTTCTAAATCCAAGTGACTATCAGATATGTCTCAAAGTGAGTAACTTGTGGATATTGACGCGAACGGTTTTGAACGATTCAGTCCGTTTTGGTGAATTGTTCGTTTAAAAGAATCGGTTCACAAAAAGATTCATCCAAACGAACGGGACAACAGTTACGCCTTGCTAAAGACTCAGATTTTGCCAACTTAAAAGAAGAACAGACTTCGAATTTTAAGCAAACTTATTCTGTCATCATGTTGATTTATTAACACATCTATTCACGGATCTCCTTGTTGTTTCTTTCAGAAAACGCGCTAGGTGTGGCTTAGAAACTTACTACTCTTCGTGGAAATCAGATTTAGCTGGAAACATCAACAATATGAAGATCATTTTAGGGATCATTCTGATTTTGCTACAAACATGTGGTAAGTGTGCGGTTTCTTCATTCATTATTAGGCCTGCTTTCGGTTTCACGTTGACTCCTTT